AGCAGAACGAGCCCTGGTTTGAGACTAAAATTATTTTTTGTTGAGAAAAGACAAAAGTTGGAACATTTTCATCAAACCTTGAGAACATGATGTTCAATCCCACCTTCAGAGGGCGTGTTGAGGGTGACTCTCAGCTACTACCACTTGATGTTTTAGAAAAGTTTTAAATCTTTTTCATCCATTTAGACAAAAAAATACGATTTTTTCCCCTTCAGTTTTATGAAACACTTTTAAAAGGAAAAAAAATAAAAATAAAAATTCAGCATTTATTGTAATTATTAAACAAACCTGAAAAATAAACCTGCATGGTTTTAGGTGCACTGTACTTTTGTTTTTAATTGAAATATTTAAAAGTACGTTTTAATTTTAAAAGGGCATATTTTAAATAAATGATTCAGAAAGTTAAAGGAGCTTTAAGTCTCAGTCGGTTGAATCATGACCGTCATGAAGAAAAGAGAACATTTGTCAGCTCTGGAGTCATTTATTGTTTCCATCTGGTCTTTAAACGTCCTGGACCGTTTCCAGCTTCTGCTGGTTCTGCAGCGAGGAACAGGAAATCACTCCCGTCTAACCAGACATCACAGCATTCACACGTTTGATTCTTAAATACTAAAAAAAAAAAAAAGGAGGACTGGACGCAGCCGGGATGATAAAAGGAGAATTAAGGAGCTGCTGCTCACTTCTCCTTCCCAAATTTCTTCATGTGCGCTGTGATGGACGCGCTGATCTCTGCGCTCTGTTTGTTCTGTCCGTAATAATCAACGAACTCTCCGTCCGGTCCCACCAGGTACATGATGACGGTGTGGTCCACCTGAAAACCACAGAGACAGGTTGAGACGTCGCCCCTGAGGTTGAGGGTTAACGAGGGGCCGGTGGCGACTCACGATGTAGTCTTTGTCCTCGTCCTTCGGGCCCTGACTGTAGTAGACTCTGTAGGCTCTGGAGACGGCCTCGATCTGAGCCGCCGTCCCCGTCAGACCGATCAGCTTCGGGGAAAACTCTGAAACAGGAAACAGACGATGAGACGCTCACAGCGCTGACGTTACAACAGACCCGAAGTTTGTGGCTCAGACAACAAACGTTAAAATCTAAAATATAGTTTCCTGAAGAAACGAAGGCGTTCCAACGCTCGTCTTCCACCTGCTTCTGTCGAGATCTGTAAAAGTGAGTTGCAGCCTGTTCTGGGTGTGCTGCGGTCCGTCGGGCAGAAGCTCGCTGGGCCGACTGTTAGAGACCGGCTGGCGAACAGCGAGTTTCCAAAACGTCTCTAAATGTTTGCGACGGCGCTCAGCGTCCTCGCTCGAGTTGCAGAGACTTGTCGTTACAAACGTTCAAAAACAATTTCTGCAGCACATTTGATGATCTCAAAGCCGTCGTCGAGCCGAAGCAGCGTCTCACAGAGCCGAAGCAGCATCTCACAGAGACGAAGCAGCAACTCACCGAGACGAAGCAACGTCTCACGGAGACGACGCAACGTCTCACGGAGACGACGCGCCGTTTCACAGAGACGAAGCAGCGTCTCACCGAGACGAAGCAGCGTCTCACAGAGACGACGCAACATCTCACGGAGACGACGCAACATCTCACGGAGAC